GTTGGGAGAATTAATAAGACAAACTTGGTTGTCACGGCAGAAAGCACCAGCATTTCATGCAAGTTGAATGTCGATCAGTACTGCAACAGCTGACAGACAGCTTTACATCTTTATTTAGTAGATTAGTATGTCAATCAATTTTGAAAATAAGAATAATGTGTACAATGAAAAGTTTTTCTTCTACAAAATCTATAAGAATGCAATCAAGTTAATTATTCAAAACGTTTTGAAAAATAATTCCTATGTGACAAAATGTAGTAATATTAACATTAATGAGATTAATATAAAAGTAAAAACTAAAGTACTAATTTACTGAATAAAATCTATAAGTAACATGAAAACCAAACATCAACATTTTACTTTTCAAATTCACAAAATATTAAAATTTATATAATTTACCTAATTCTTCAAGTTCTTCATTTACCCTTTTCAGCCACTGAACATCAATATCATCTAGATCATAACGGCAAACTTTTTCAGCCTGTGTAGCAACATTGGTAAGAACATGAAGGTCATTGGAAAAAAATTGGTCGTGAGAGCACCTTATTAATTTCTTAGGGCTGAAAAGATGAAAAATAGTTAATATTAATAAGGAATTTTTTTGAAGTATAAACACATATTAAAAAGTCTTTTTCTAATAAACTAAAATATCAATGTTATCAAATTCCTAAAAGCAATTTGTCAATGAACTACTTTAAAACATTGACACTATTGAGCAACTATAACTGTTAAAACAGATATCCCGAAATTTAATTAGAAACCCAATAAAATACTTGGTTTTATTTGTTTGGAATGTTGACACAAAACTACAAAAGGTCTATCTGGGTTAACCATCCATACTTTTAAACTGACAGACTTGAAGGAAGGCATCTAGTCAACAGCACTTACTACCAACTCTTGGAATCAAATTGTGTAACTTGACCACCAACCTTATAATGCACCAAGAGCATGGAACACAATTTATTTTACTGTTGAAGCAGTCCAGTGCACCAACCATTACACTATGCCTAGCCTACTATAAAACTTGTTGTTTACAAGATCATTGGTTATGAAGCATGCTTATATATTAAACTCAGAATAAAACATTTTAGAAAACAGATATTTAACAAATTCACATTAGAAAAAGTAATGCGTTAATTGTTTCACATCTTTTATCATCAGATACTTCATATAACATTCTAAAAAGATTAATTCCATAAATTCAATCAAGTCAAAATAAAGAAATTACAATATATAAAAGAACTGAATAAAAAGATATGTTTTTTATTTTAGTATAAAAGCACTTTTACTAAAACAAAACATTGTCCTTAATATAAAACACAGGTTGCTTAGGTACAAGTTTAGATACCAAGTTATTAATCTTCCTTTTAAACTCACCTAAGTACTTAAACCTCATTTGTTTCATAAAAATTTCCCTGATTTAAAATCTTGCTTGATAAAGTATATCATCTTATGGTATTGTTCATACTGATGTGTTTTCATTGGCAAAATGTATTCAAAAATATGGAAGCTTGGAATATATGATCTACTCCTATAGTCAAATAAAATTCTCAGCTTGTTTTTATTTAACAGTTAACATATCAAACTTGTCATATCATATCATAAAAAAGCCTTACAGTTTAAAATTGTGCTTCTTTTCCTTTTTTCTTATCACCCTGAAAAAAAATTACAGATTTCATAAAAACCTGATTTTGGGAGTTAAAATATAGAAGTCAATACTCAATACTACAAATTAACTGACATTTAACACATATATTTAAAGATGAAAGTAAAAAAAAAAAAAAAAGTTTTGGTTTGATTGCTGTAAAGCTTTTAAGAGTTATATGCCTTCAGACTCACTGCTTACTTCACAACTTTCACATTTGTAAAATCACTACAATATGTTTTATCAATTTCATTCTAGTTTCGTTGGGAAAAGCTACTAATGTTTTTGTTACTTAATTCCACACTAAGGTTTCAACAATCAAAATTATAACACAGTATTTTATACTTGTGACTACCTATAAATGCGTGATTTTAAACTATATATTTCTTTAGTAATCCATGCTAAATTCATTTGAAAACAAAAATTAAAACTCATGTGTTATACACCTTTCTTTAAAAACTACAACATAAGAAAAGCATGATAATTCTTAAAGCAATTTTCCAGAAGCATTAAGTTAAGATGTGTTAAACATTATAGTACCGTAAATCCATTTGATGTATTTCAGTATGTAATGAATATATGAATTAAACCTTTCTGAAATTTCCAAAATACAACCTCTGAAAGCTTACCGTACTGCAGATTCTGCAAGATTTTCTGGATTAACAGGTACCTGGACTCCTTTTTCCCAATCTTGTTTCCAAGAATCTGATATCAACCAGTATTCTTCTGGAGCTAGCTGTTCACTGTCTGGAAGTTTCATTGCACTGATCAGATCTTTCCGAAATAGCTAAAGATCCAATGATGAAATTACTAATTTTAATTATCAAAAGCTTCTTTTAATGTGATGGGTATAACAAATCTTTATCAAGGGTAAATCAAAAAGTTACATTTTTTATAATATTTTTTGATATATAATATTACTTGATGTATATAATGTAATATACATATTAACCCTATCGGCATGGGTACCCTTTACTGCACATGACACAAGGTTTTAGCATCTTACATTAAAAATTTTATTAAACTACTTTTTGTTTATGTTATACCAATTAGAATAGCATACAATGTTAGCTAATAATCCATATTTTAATAGTGTACAAGTTTTAAGTTCTTAATTCTACAAGAAAATATATAAAAAAATTCTGAAATTTCATTAGTGCAACACACGTAACACATTTTGTCTTAGCATGTTATCATCTCTATTTTATCCATCACCCCTTGAAAATGTACGAAATTAAATGTAAAATACACTCTATAAAACCGTTATTGCTGAAACAGACCATAATTTTTAAAAACTCAATTTTATTTGGTTACAGAGCTATTTAATAGAAAATCAGCCCCCTCCTGCCACACCCACTCATCACATCCTCTCTTTCACAATTCGTCGATAATTCTCTCGTTCATTATATATTACCTATAAGCAATAGAAAGTCAAGATTTTAATCTATCAAATAACGTCTTGTATAACATTGTATTCTGAACAGAATATTGTTAATTTCACTCACAGTACAAAATACATTCCCGTGGGAAAGTTAACGACTAACTTGGAAGAATTTTTAAAGGCTCTTGTTGCATTGTTAGAAAGCCAGGAAAAATTTGAGATAAGTGAATTTGTCTACCTGTTGCATGTTATTAGTCTATATTCTTTGGTGTATTATCTAATTAAATAAAAATTGTTTACTACTTTACTGGCTTAACTGTCCTCGCAATCAAGGGCAAGAAAAAAGAAGATTGGGTAAGTACTTTATTTCCTGTTTTTCATATTCATTCTTTATTTATTATTATAAAAGTAACTAAAATTAAAAGTATGGATCTTTTTAAGTTATTTAAGACTAGATTAGGTAAAATAAGTAATAATAATAATATAATTAAAATGGTTTACGAGGCACATGTGCAAGCAGCTCATGGGTAATGTAATTCGATAGTGTAACGTGAGCTGCACGTTTCCCAAGTGATTTACAACTTTTATGGCTGGAATAGCAGTTAGACATGGTTAGAAGGGCAATAAAACATAAAAATTTAATTATAAATAGATGTATAATGCTACGAACTTAGAGCTACTTAGGATAAACAAATGTAGTTTCAGGTTACAATTTGAAGTCATTCCAGAAAGAAAAGAAGGTTAATTTAGGTTTATTTCAATTTTTTTTTTTTTTTT